CGATTCCAGTTGGTTCTGAAGTCATACGCAATAATAGTTTTAGACTTATCCAAGTGGGAGACTGTTGGATTAATGTCTAAGTCCATAACTATAATTGGTAAGACTTGACCCGACCCGGCATGGTCCATTTGGGTTGCATGGCATCATGCACTTGGATAGACTATAATGAGAGAAATAAGACACTTATGGTTATTAATATATTATAAGTTCTAGTATATTAATAATAAGAATAATGAGATTATTTAATTAGTATTGATCAAGAATTAATCTAGGATTAATTAAGTGATCAAAAGAAGACTAATTAAATATATGGGTGGATTGTGTAAATCATCCATACTTGTATAGTGGGCTAATGCTCCATGGATATCAAGTTGGGCTAAAACCCATAGGATGTCCATGGATGCTCCATGGTGTATTTGAACCCATGGATCCAAGGAAATGGAAAGTCATGACAATTAGGGTTTACCCTAATTGTAACACTATATAAAGATCTTATTCTTTACAAAATCGGCCACTAGTATCATTCTAGAGAGGGCTAGCCGATTTCATGAAGTGTAGAATTCTCTCTAAGTTATTCCAAGTGTTTATGGTGTTGTGTGAACCATTTGAGGTGTCACACTTGGGGCACTAGGCACTCAAGCTTCATGAAGACAAGCACCAACAAAAGGTATGTTATTCTAACTTGTGTTATTCAAAGTTTTGTATGCTAGAATAGTACAATACCTTGGAAAGTTGATATTTGCATGTATAATAGAGAAAACATAGATCCAAGGTATTTAGGGTTGCATGTACACTTAGGAGTGTTAGAATGCTCAAAACCCAACAGTTGGGACCAAAGTGACTTTGGATACGTAGCGATGAAATCAGAGGGTAGATCTGGCGGATTGCTCAGTATGTGGGATTCACAAAAATATACGGTAGTTGAAATGCTAAAATCAAGACATTTCATCATCACTATAGGAAACTGGAGCGGAATCACAAGATCAACGATTTTTGCTAACATATACGGTCCGCATTCCCCTCGTGAAAAGAAGAAACTATGGGACGATCTGTTAAAAATCAAAGCGGAGAAAATGGGAGTCCGGATAGTCCTTGGCGATTTCACACCGTACAGAGACAAGATGAGAGGTATAATTCACAATTCTGTAACTCTTCAGCATATTGGTTTAACAGATTCATAGGCGAAGCGCAATTACATGAACTGAGGATGGGTGGTCATCGATATACATACTTTTGTCAAACTGAAATCAAAATGAGTAAATTAGGTAGATTCCTAATATGCCCCATATTATTAAATTATTTTCCCGCGACCACAGTAACTGCTTTTGCCTAGGGAGATCTCAGATCACTGCCCTATCATGTTGAGAACCACTACAGAGGCTGATTTTGGAAAAACACCCTTTAGATTCTTCAACTCATGGATGAACCGCGATGGATATGATGAGGTTATTACTAGGGCATGGTCCAGTTTTGTTGGATATGGTGCTCCTGATGCTTATCTTGCTGCAAAATTAAAGAATTTAAAAAATGAGTTGAAGAAATGGAGAGCCACTGACCATCCCAAAGAAGTCATGGAACTAAAGACACTCAAACTAAAGTTGCAGGAAATTGATGAGAAAATTGAAGAACAGGTAATCAAAGATTATGAGATAGAAGAAAGAAGATCAGTCTTCCACAGAATTGTAGAATTGGAAAAGATGAAGATATTTGATTTGAAACAAAAATCAAGAATAAAGTGGGCAGTCGATGGGGATGAAAATTCTTGCTTCTTTCATGGATTTGTCAACAACAGAAAGAGGAAAAATCACATTAATGGTTTGGTGATAAATGGTTCCTAGAACACAAGTGTGGAAGATATAAGGCAGGAGATTTTCAACTTTTACAAGGATAAGTTCAAGGAGAAATGGGTTTCCCGCCCTAAATTCATTAGCCCAAAGTTCAGAAAATTAGACTTGATGAATATCGAGCATCTAGAGGCCCCTTTCACATTAGAAGAAATAAAATGTGAAGTCTGGTCATGTGGACAAGACAAAGCACCTGGCCCAGATGGATTTAATTTCAATTTCATTAAAAGGCACTGGTCGATTGTTAAGGGAGATATATTCGAAGCCGTTCGACACTTTGAGAAATATGGAATAATTAGCAGGCGATGTAATTCTTCCTTTGTTACACTAATACCTAAAGTGAAAGACCCTAGAACACTTGGAGGGTATCGCCGAATTAGTCTCATTGGATGTTTGTACAAAATAATCTCCAAGACTCTCGCCAATAGACTGAAGAAAACAATTGGCCTGAATATCAGGCAGGAGCAGTCGGCTTATGTCAAAGGGAGAAATATTCAAGATGGTCCCATGATTGTCAATGAGTTGTGCTCATGGGCAAAGAAGGCGAAACGAAATTTTTTTCTCTTTAAGGTTGATTTCGACAAGGCATTCGATTATATAAATTAGGAATACTTGGATTCTCTTTTATGGAAAATGGGGTATGGATGCAAATGGAGGATGTGGATATCGGGGTGTTTAAAATCAGCCACAACATCATTACTTGTTAATGGATCACCCACAAAAGAATATGAGATTAGCAAAGGAATCCGCCAAGGAGATCCCCTGTCACCATTTCTTTTCATTATAGCCATGGAGGGGCTAAGCATTGCTATGAAGACAACGTGTGAGAAGGGTATTTTCAAAGGGATAAAAATACCACATGATGACATATCGGTGTCACATCTCTTCTTTGTAGATGATGCACTCTTCCTTGGAGAATGGAATAAAGAAAACATTAAGAACCTAGCCCGGATTCTCAGGTGCTTTCATGCCACATCAGGTCTCAAGGTAAACTTTAATAAGTCACGTGTTTTTGGAATAGGAGCGAATATGCACAAGGTAAATAGATGGGCAACACCGCTTGGTTGTAAACCGGATGTACTACCATTCACTTATCTAGGCGTGCCAGTGGGGGCTAATATGAAGTTAAAAAAGAACTGGGCTCCTATCGTGGAGAAATTTCATAACAAACTTTCCTCATGGAAGGCCAAAAACCTTTCTATGGGTGAACGATTAACCTTGACAAAGGTTGTTCTTGGCAGTCTCCCATCTTTTTTCTTTTCACTCTTCGTAGCTCCAAATAGGGTAATTGATAAATTAGAAAAAATCAGAAGAAAATTCTTGTTAACCTATCTTTGATTGTTAAGTGGTGGTGGAGACTAAGAACAGAAGAAAATACATTATGGGGAAAATTAATAAAAGGAATTCATAATATTAGAAACAGAGCATCAAGTTACATGGCAAGCAGTTCCATCCCAGGGGTATGGAAAAGAATTGTTGGGGCAGGAGATGAACTGAAAAAAATGGGAGTCAATATAGAAGACATTATTGTAAAGAAGGTACACTCAGGCGATAATACTCTATTCTGGTTAGACAATTGGTGTGGTAGCGGGTATCAATTGGAGAAAAAGAAGAAGTGCAAGGTGAGTGATAGAATCCAAATTGAAGGAATGAAGTGGGATTGGAAGGAAAGGCTCTCTAAAGATCAGATGAGGGAATTGAATGTACTAGTCTCAAGACTTGGTACATTTCAACTCACCATGGGGACAGATTCATGGAGGTGTACCTTATCAAATGGCAATAGATACCATGTCCATAAACTAAGAAGATTGATTGACAGCTCCCAAGCACTTACAGATAGGTGCTGATTGACTTGATGCATGATGTCCAAATTAAAGTGAACTGCTTTATTTGGAGAGCAAGTATAGATAGAATTCCCACTAAGTGTGCGTTGCAGAAAAGAGGTATCTTAACAGGATCTTCCAGGTGTGAATATTGTGAGACTGAAGATGAAAATACCTCACATGCCCTAATCAAATGCCCTTTTGCTCAGACTGTATGACAGTGGGTATTTCACTGGTGCAACATATATGCTCCCATGACTGGTGATATTGGAGAAATGCTCACTTTTATAAAGATTGGGGGAATTGTAGCAGAAAGCGAAGTAATCTACTAGCCATCTGTTACGGTACGATGTGGTCAATATGGAGGGCTCGATGCGACCGAATTTTCAAGAAGTTGAGGTGTTCCCCTGCAACGGTCGCAGATAATGTTATATCAATAGTTTTCACATGGATCAAACACAGGAGGAAAAAATGCCATTACCAATGGACACAATGATGTATTAACCCTTTTGATTGTTTGTAAAACTCTTTTTATGTTTCTATTTTGCCCCATCTAACATCTTGCTACTTGGTGGTCTTTTTCTTATAATATATTACCGGTTCCAAAAATATAATTAATATTTATTATATTTAGTTATAATAATATTCTTATATACTTAATATTTCAATTAATGTTTAATATTTTTTAGAAAAAACATCATAAATGGTCCCTGTGTTTTCCCAGATTCTGAAGTTTAGTCTCCGTGGTTTAAAAATCTCATAAATGGTCCTTGTGCTTTCAAAACTTTTGACAGATGGTCCTTATTTCTAACTCCGTTAACTTTTGTCTGTTAAGTGAGGGGCGTTTTCGTCATTTCACACCACAAGGACCATTTATGATCTTTTCAGTTATTTTTTTAAAAAAGAAAAAACTAAATATAATTATTTAATATATAATCTCTCTCTCTCTCTCTCAGAACACATATACAGACATTAAAACCAATACTTTCTCTCTCTCTCTCTCTCTCTCTCTTTCTCTCTCTCTCTCTCTCTCTCTCTCTCTCTCAGCTAGTTGATCTACATCACCACTGAATTCCTACAAATCAAGGAAAGAACCCTTTACAGATTATTACAAGAAATCACAAACTGCAAGAGAAAGTGTCATGCACTGAAGAACTTACATGTAACTTTTTAAGAGTTTGGTTTGAGCTTGTTTTTCTGGACATAAATGGAGTCTTGGGTGTGAGACTAGATTGAGAAGAGAGTTTTTCCATCACAAGCTTTCCAAAGTCAGTAACTCTGGGATCAGGGGCACCAGACATAATGAAGCATATATCAACAATACTTTATGCAGTTATGGTGCCTTCACCAGGGCCATGTTTCCAGCATAGTAAATAAGTGCATACGCACTTCTCAAGTTTATGCTCTTTGCAGCAAACCTATCCAGTGGATAACAGCAAACTATGAACAAAATGGGATCGAAGAATAGAATGCGATTATCTACTTGTTCGAGCAGGTGATTGAAAACTGCGTATTTGCCCTAAATTATAGGTAAGATACTTACACCATCAACAATGGCGTCGAAGTATAGAATTGATCCATCGACTTTATAAGTAGCACACACCGTCATGCCTTCGATCACTGTGGAGCACTCGTTCTCCTCGATCGGCACGGACACCGGTCGAAATCGACGGAGAAATTCTTCCAGTTCATCGTGTTTGGAGAAATTACCCATAGAGAATACCTCATCAGCGTCGCCTGACTTGAAATCCATGAACTTGACGCACAACCGCTTTCCATTTTCGAGAATGACACCGGAGGTGTACCACGCATCGTTGTTCTTCGATCAGTAGTCAAGGTTGTAGCTTACCTTTCCGTTGCCGGAAAGTATTGGTTTTAATGTATGTATATGTGTTCTGTGAGAGAGAGAGAGAGAGAGAGAGAGAGAGAGAGAGAGATTTTATATATTAAATAATTATATTTAGTTTTTTCTTTTCTAAAAAGATAACTGAAAAGATCATAAATGGTCCCTGTGGTGTGAAATGACGAAAATGCCCCTCACTTAACGGACAAAAGTTAACGAAATTAGCAATAAAGACCATCTGTCAAAAGTTTTGAAAACACAGGGACCATTTATGAGATTTTTAAACCACGGGGACTAAACTTCAGAATCTGAAAAAACACAGGGACCATTTATGATGTTTTTTCTATTTTTTATAAGTGTTTTTAAAACACATATTAAAAAATATTTTTAGAAAATAGATGTATTTAATATCCCTTAAGAAAAGTCAAACAAAATTAATACACGAAAATAGATGCAATTAGTAATCATCCTAAGTCAAGTGTTTAGATTTATTTTGAATATATATATATATATATATATATATATATATATATATATATATATATATATATATATATATATACTATTAAATTAGCTTTTTTTATGATTTATACTACTAATAATTAATAATCAAATAAAAAAATTGCATTCTCAAAATATGACAACAGATGCAATTTGCAATTTGCCATTAAAATTAAAAGCATGCAAAGATAAGCAAAATTTAAAAGGTTTTAAGGTCTTATTACTCTTGCACTATTATACAACTCTTGTTACATCCTTTATTAATTTTTCAAACCGTAAACTCAGTGCTAGACTTTTACTTAAGCCGAAGCCTTCCTGCTAACTCCTAGAATAAGTGTTGGGGCTAAGCAAAAGCAACTCCTGCTGGCTGAACTTCAGCTTCTGAGCGTCATTTCTTGACAACTGATACGCGTTCGCCACCACATCCACGGGCATGCTCTTGAGCGCCGATACACGACCAGCAAGATTAGCTACCATAGCGTTGTCATTAGTCTTGAAAGAAATCCACCTTGACCCTTGTTCACCGGCTCTCTTGATCGCTGCAAAGTTTTGTGGGATCACCACCACCTGTCCCTCCCTGAGCTCATCATCGAAAACTGACTCCCCGGCGTTGTTCACGATCTGTATCCTCAAGGTTCCGTCGGTGACGTACACAAGATTGTGGGCGTTTAATGTCCAAAATGGCGCCTTAATTGCGTTCGGGTGGAGTTCGCCTCTCTCGGCGCTGAGTTGGAGTTGCCGGAGAACGGGGAATTTGAAGCTGTTGAGGTTTGAAATCCTGCCGGCTTGTGGGTTTACGAAGTCAGCGTGGGTGGGGTTATCGATGTTCTCGCTTAGCTTCAAGCTGCAAATGGTTTCTTCAAAACCGTTGCTCCGTCCACCTTGACGTCCTCCCTGTTGTTCACGTTCTTGCTGTTCTCTGGTCTGCGGTGGCCTGATGATTTGAAGATCTTGTTCGACGTTAACGATGTGACCTCTTTGGTCTCTTTGTCCTTGAAGCTTCTCAGCAGTCTCCCTGTTGACGTTGAATGCTTCTGCTAAGAACTCCACATCGAAACCGTTGAAGATATTGCCAGCATTGCGGTAGGGCTGCTCCTGCTGGGACTGGCCTTGTTGTCTGCGTGGTTGTCTCTGACCTTGTTGTTGTTCGCTTTGACCTTGAGGGTTCCCGGCGAGGAAGAATCTCTGAAACATTTAATTATAAGCTCGAATCTTTTAGTTAGTTCTAAATTTGGTAATTAATAATAGTTTAATGTAATGTAATATTATTCATCTACCCTGTGGTTTTGATCAAGCTGGTTAGCGCTGTTCTGAGTGTCGAAGAAGACTACAGCAACAAGTTCGGTCTCGCCGTCGTTATAAATCCAGTGAGCTGTTCCGGCGGGAATGGCAACAACATCTCCCTGGTTCAAGTTCCGTACTTTCTGGTGGCGATCTTGTAACCCTTGAAACTTCTGGCCTCTGCGTTCACTCTGACCGGAAAACTGTTGTTCCTGAGAAGATTCATAGGTTTCTGGACATCCCGGCAATATAACCCCATGAACACCCCTTCCTGTAGAGATCGGATGAACAAGTCAACAACCCATGAATTCCTATTCTTAAACCAATTCAAAGTCTGGAAAGGAAAAATAAAACACCTTTTTCGATGAAGGACAAGAGAGGGGCGTTGACGTAGGATGGCAAGAGAAGTCCACCAGGTTGAATCCGGTGTCGGAGAAACTCAACGCCGGCACACTGGAACTGCTTCTCATCGGCGTTCCAGAACTCAGTGACTCCAGCTTCGGCTTGGATCCTATCGGACGGCTCAAGAGCGTCGATTCTTCCAATCTGGCACTGGTTTTGCGGCAGCTGCTGCTGTTGTTGTTGGTGGTGGGCGAGGCAGGTGGAGAAGAGTAGGAGGAACGAGAGAAGCAAAGAAGCTTTGGACGCCATAGATGAAGGTGTGGCGAATGGAAGGTGTGTGGCGAACTTAGAGCGAGAGGTAGGTTTTTATGGAGGAAGAAGGTGAAGGAGGGAGTGACATGTAAGAGGGAATGGCATGGAAAGAAGAACACATGGAAGTAAGAGAGTATACATGTGTACAAGAGACTGAATGGAGATCCATCGCAAGAGGTATAAGTGTGTTTGTGTATGGTTTATCGTTATAAAAACTCGAAGGTTGATGAACAATCACTCATAAGTAAGCCAGATACATTTAAATAATATTTCTTATTATTATTTTTTTTAGTTCAAGATTGCTTTTTAAATAAGCTTCGTAATATAACAATTCCTTTAAATAATATTTCACAAGACTATAACCAAATTTTAACTTGCATACAAGATATCAAAATTATGTAATCTAGGATAAAATGATATTGATGAAATTTCGTAATTGTATATCGTTTAAGTTGGGAAAACAATGCATGAGTTGAACCACTTGAACTACTGACAATGATTTGGTTGACATGAATAATTCATGGATTAAACATATTGCGGTTCTATTTGTACAAAGAATATATTTTTACATGAACACATAAATCAAGATATTCGGAACACCTTGAAAGTATCAAGTTGTGCTTGGATTTGAAACCGTTTTATTGGTGCTTGCCAATGCCAGACATTGCAAAGTATATTGGCCTGTGTTGCTCTTTGGTTAAAATGAGTTTTTGATCACATAGGTGTTTTTAAAAAATGGGTATACTTTTAAATTTGGGTAAATTATACCGATCGTCCCTCGTGCAGGTGCCAAAAAGCACATTCAGTCCCTATTTTTAAAAATTAATTCGGACCGTCCCTCGTTTGATTTAACCTTGCACGTTTCATCCCTCAAAGATGAATTTATTGCGTACTGAGTCCTTGCTAAATTTTAAATGACCATAATACCCTTTTGTTTTTATTTTTACATTAATTTAACGTTTATATTATACTTTTCAATTAAAAAAAAATAAATGCCCCCTCCCTTTCACTTTCCCCAACCTTTCTGCCATTAACTATTATCGAGTGAAGAAAAACACATACACACATACATAGTCGATGAAAGGGAAAAAAGATCGATGAAAGGGAAAAAAAAATGATAATTGTCGGACCATTATCGCCAAGCAATTATCAGTAACCGTAACATATTCACCAACCACCACCATCATCGATTATAGTGACAGATTGTGATGCGACTAAAGAAAAATTAATTTTGGAAAACCTTGAAGGAAAATGGTGGTGATGCTTGTAAGAAGAAACAGAGTTGTCGGAATCTACTATCACTACCACCAGAATCTACAACCACCACCACCGCAATCCTCCACCATCGACGGACCACAACCTTCCTCTTTTGTCTACAATCTGAATACTCCCTCTTTAATCTCCAGTGTGCATTCCAACGTTTCAGATCGACGCCGCCTAGGGTTTCAAACCTTTACCTTCATCTTTTCAGTTCTAAGATCGCCAAATCCGCCACACACACTATCGGACTAGAAGCAACTAATGTACCAAACAGGATCCTACCCACCACTTGCCCCCTTTCGCTTGCAAAAAATACCCACAACCCACCAGCATAGGTAGGCGCCGATGGTGGAAGCATTGTTCCTGAAAACATCAATATCGTAAACCTCCCATGGAGCGTAACCGTGTTGTTCGAAGGATCTGCAGACTAATGCAAGAATGTGAGAACGAAGGGTGTTGGGGCTATACCGGGTTACGATAATTCATGGCTCGATGGTAGTGATTTTATTGATGGTCGATGTCCGATCAATGGAGAGGAAGAGTGGGAGAGAAAGAGGGAGACAAAGCTGGGGAAAGGGAAGGGGAGGGTAAGTTGGGGTGTAGATATATTTTTTTTCATTTTCTTTTTCAATATTAAAATGATAAGTAAATAAAATAAAATTGTAAAAGAAGTTATTAAGGGTAAAATAATCATTTTATGTCATTAGGGACTAAACATGCAAGAAAAACAGAGTCAAGGGACGGTCCGAGTTAATTTTTGAAAATAGGGACTAAACGAGCTTTTGGACACATGTACGAGGGACGAATGGTGTACTTTACCCTTTAAATTTATTTACTATAGAGGGTTATTTAGCAACTTAAAAAAAAAAAAAAAAAAAAAAAAAAAAAAAACCAACCTATGTGCCTTAATTTTTTTTTCTTGCCGATCGATTCTTTCCCTGGGTAAAAAAACGAGCTGCACACTTCTAAATTTCCGGCAAGATCGTCATCTCCTGCGACTCCAACGACTACGATCCAATGACGCCAGCGAATCCAACAGCACCACGGCGGCGACTACAATCCATCGTAGGTACGTTTTTTTGGCTTCAATTACAGGTTCGTTTTTTAGTTCAATTTTGAGCTATAACTTCGATTCAAGCTGTAATCTCTAGTTTGGGTTCATTTGTGAGTTCGATTTTTGATTTCTACATTTCTGAGTTCGATTTACAAGTTGT